CAGATGGCAGAGCCAGGTCTTCAAATCCCTCCGAAAGGCCAGGAGTGAGGGGGCCAATCTCACCTCCAGGGGCAAGATATTCCAAATAAACCAGTAATAAAAATTCCCTGTTTCAAACTGTTATTAACCTATGAATTTTTATTTTCATACACACAATCTAGATGACACCAATATTTTCTGATGTACATTTCAGCACTTCCATTCATACTTACATCAGCTTCTCTCTACAACATGGGAGGACCTTCTTTTAGATCTATTACATTCTTCCCCTTTCTCTTAATTTCACAAACACACAGTCTATTTATTTCAGGCACCAATTCATGCACTTTACCATTTACCCTCTTACATTCCAAGTTGCAATCTTCCATATGCCAAGACTGCCACCAGACAGATCCAGATACTAACCTTTATCACCCATTACAGCTTTGGTGGATCTTGGCCCCAACGTATTTTGTAATACGTTTGTAAGGACCAGGTTATCTGAGGAACTGTCTCGCCCTTGTTATTTCAGCCCACCCCACTCAGTCCGGCAAAAGGGGCATGTTGCAGACCACACCAGTCAAGGAATTTCAACTGGTAGGATCTAGGCAGAGGGCCTTTTCTGCTGTGGCCCCCGCTCTATGGAACAATCTACCTCTCAAGGTGTGGTGTACCCCCACTTTCATGGTCTTTAGGAAAGGTGTGAAATCCTGGCTATGCCAGAAGGCCTGAGGGCCGGATGGGGGCTTGCATCAGTGGAAGTGGCTTCTGGGGTAATTGATTTTACCCCCCACCCGTCATCTTGAATTTGTGTATAGGGTTTGTTTTATAATGGATTTTAATGGATTGAATATTTAATTATTTATGGGGTATTTTAATTGTTTATAGGCTTTTGATTTTTATTGTGAGCTGCCCAGAGTCACCCATTGGGGGAGATAGGCGGCATACAAATTTAACAATAAATAAATAACTAAATAAAATAATATGACAGAGAAAAAGTAGACTAGGTTATCAGCCTTAGTAGTGGTAGTACACATGTGAGACACAACATTCCCTGCTCATGTTAAGGTTCTGAAACTGATCAGTTTTGGCACATTTTGGGCAGTATCCCACATGCACAACCAAAGCCCAGTTTTGCCCCAAGCATTCTCACTCAAACCCAGTAGTTAGGGCACTGGACTAAGATGGGAGAATGAAGTCTATCCTTAGTTATAAAAACTCATTGGGAAACTCTGGGCCAGTCAGCCTCTCAGCACAGTCTATCTCACAGGGTTGTTGTTGTGGGCATAAAATGATCCCATGTAAGGTACCCTGAATTCCTATACAAAGGTGAAATGGTGGATGATGATGATGATGATGATTGCTGCTGCTGCTACTATAACTACTACTATTACTATATAAAATGCATCTATATCCAGATTCTGGCATAACAAGTCATCATGAATACTATTTATCACTGTAACCAGAATTGGACAAGTATGATAGATACATACAAACAGTTTTCCATAAAATAATAGAATAGCTTCTGGCCATTAGACCTTAGTTGTGAGTTTAAAATGAATTTTTTCTTGTAATACCTCTTTTATATAGCAACACTGAGTATTGCAGAAATGACTGTGATTTAACGGGGTAAAAATCCCCGTTAGAAGGAGGTGTTAAAAGTCTCTCAGCAGTCAATTGGTCATCTTAGCAAATGCACTAAACCAGCCTTCCCAACCACCACCATCACCAGCTGGACTGGAACTACACCTCCTATAATAGGAGGTGTAGTTCAACACATCTAGAGAATAACAGGTTGGAAAAGCTGCACCAAACTTTTAATGTAGAGGTATGTATATAACTGATTAAATGGGATGTTCTTTCTGATAAGCACATTTAGGATTATAACACACCTGACCCACACAAAACACAGGATAAAAAGTTGTGTTGCTTTTACTGTCTAGGGAATATGCACAGTTAATAACTAGAGACCAGAGACATTATTGTAGATAACCAGTCATAGTGGTTGAATGGGCATAGGCATACAGAAATAATCATTACTCCAGATTGGTGAATGGAAACAGAACATCTCACTTTGTCAGTTTCACACACCATTCTTCCAACTGCCTTCCTTAAAATAAATAATATAGAGATTATAAAAATGACATAGAATCATAAAATATTTATTTCTTCCAAATTTAATTCAAGTTTGCCAAATATCTAAATGTATACACAGAGGTTTGATATTACTAAATGTCATCAGACTTCCTTTCATTCAGTTCAGAAAAGAAGAAAAGAGCTTATAAAATTGTATTGTTGTTTAAACTAAAAACAAAAAAACAAAGATAGTGCAGTGGATAATATTTGCAGGCATGGCTTTATAAAGCATCTGAACATGATCTAGTAAGAAAATGTTTGTTTAGAGAGTAGAGCAAGCTGTGTATAATGAAAATAAGCAACTAAACCACATTTGAACCATGCTTTTAAAATATGTTTTTAACATGTTAAATTTAACATGTTAAATAAGGTGTTTCAAGCTACACTTCAACCTTTCTGACCTACCTTTATCAACACAGTTTAATAAAAAAGAAAGAATATTTTACTGGAAAAACAACTTGCCAAGGACTCACAGCATGACTTTTACACATTGTACCATACCTATTGTATATCGCTCACTGGGGAATATTATAAAGGCCAGTAAGAGAATTTTTTAAAAGCTGGGTACATGGAGGATTTATTTAAGAACAGCTAGCTAATGGTGTGTTCTTCTGCTACCATTTTTACTTTGTAAGGAATAACAGATTGTTCCATGAATTACCACATTTTCCATGTTGCTCATGAAGCATTTATCCAGTAAGCCATTATCTTTGGCAAGATACTAACTTTTGGGATCATTAGGCCAATTCCATTTTGGAGCTCTTCAAATCTTTCCTTAGTTAAAAATGAATCAAACTTGATAGAGGCATTAACACTGGAGTTCTTGGGATTGTTGAAGTCAACAGAGCATATTGATTCTTTCTGGTTATTCCAATTAAATCCTTCTCCACAACATACATAAAATTCTCAGCAAGCAACAGTGACAAAATCAAGAAAAATGAGAAATTTTGCATTTAAAAATTTGAAGAGCTGCAAAGTATGCTTGAAGGTCAAAACTGTGTATAGGGATAGAATGTGTTTCCTTCACAACAGGGAATTCTGGGGAAGAAGACCTTGATGTACAGTAAGAAAAATGTACCTATTCTTGAACTGACTGGTATGTATCTGCTGGATTTCAGTGAAGAACTCTCCAGACATATGACATGAGCCTCTTTGATATTTGGATTAAAGGATTGCAGAGCATTTTTGTTTTGTTTTAAAATGGCAAGCAACATTTTAGCTGCTTGTATATAATGGCATACTTAAAATAAAATTAAAATACTCCTAAAACACTTAGAAGTTGGAGCAGGTATTTAACCAGCATGGTTAGGTTCCCTAGAAGTATTTAGATGGTTACACATGCTTCATTTTATACCTCTTAATTCTTATAATAATGCCTGCTTATGATCTCATAAACCATCTGAAGTAGGTGAGACAGAAATTTAATATATGTAATTAGAATTTATGTTTGTTTTAAGATACCAAGGAGGGGAAAAAACCCCCACCCCACTCCAAATGCAGTAGATATAAGCAAGGATCACAAGATAGTGATTGGATAAAGAATATTTGAAAGAAGCTAGTGCTGTCTAGTTCCCCACAAGGTATGCCCATAGTCTGAGGATCAGTAAAGCAAGCTGACTTCTTCCAAAGGGAGAATTTTAATTTCCATAGCTTTTTCAGCCTTACATTCTGGTTATAATCTGCAAGTGACGTGCTACATCTCTTGTATGAAAGAGTACCCCCATGAAATGACTTGGAACTTGGATGAATTTAGCAAATAACTTAGAGGCAAGAAGTAGTAACCTATGGCATATTCTGGCATTGTGTTTGTGAAATCATGTGTTTTTCTGGGGAATATTATTATTTAGGATATTATTGACTCGTTACGGTTCTCTTCTCTTGCTCTTCATTTTGATGCAACAACATTCTCATAGCCAAAGATAAATCTCTAGCTTTCTCCCTAAATCCCTATCTAAGTTGATGAAATACAATTTGATCAATTTCAGTATTTCAGTCATCTAGACAATGACTTCCTGCAGAGTTAGCAATATTAAATGTAAATGAGAGTGGCAGGAAGCTACACTAACTCATATACAAAAAAATAATAAAGTCATGACTCCTTAAAATGGACAAAATCTTTCACTTCACACTTTTCTACTGCTTGAATTACCAGGGATAAGTTCATTGACTTTGTAGATTTCAGGTACACCGAATCACATTTTGTATCAAAGCCCTTCAGAACATGACAAAGCCTATTGTTTCTAGCTTCTTGCATAAGGCTTTGCGCATTGAGTTACTTCCATTATTTTTTTAAATTCTATTTTCAAGGAGTAATACAATGCAATAAGCCTGAACATTCAAGAACTCTTAGTTGCTACTAAGCCTGAAATTTGGGGAAGTGTAGGCCAAATATAAATGTAATAACAACCACCACATGTTGTTTTATTTCATCAAATTATAGCATCCTGCATGAGCTGTTGCTTCTTGCATTCCAGTTGCTAGAAAATGAGTTACATAGATGTCTTTGTGAAAGGAAAGACAGACCCTTGGGCATATTATTATAATAAAGGCTCTTCACAGGACCAAATGAGTGCCTTGCAAGCAATGTACCAAGGAACATATCATTTTAAAATTGAAGCATATGCATGAACAAAGGATCACTTTATTAGATAATGAGAAAAGCTCTGAATGGGACCAGGGGAGGATCTTGAGTGATTTTGTGATGTGGCCACTGATATATGTTACTATAATAATCTGACCTCTATGGAACCCATCAGAAGCATTTATGTCAGACTGCAATCCGTTCCTATTTTCATTGCTTAGTATGACCAATAGGGAGACCCTTAATACTATTTACTCTTAAAAAAGGAGGAAAGAAAGAAATGCATTTGGGCGGGGGGAGGAATCATACTAGTCAACAGATAAAGTTCCTATTGAAGCAGTAGGCTTAGCTACGGTTACCATTCTGAACAGCTGTAGCTGCAGGCAGATGGAACAATATTTGGTCAGACACTAGCAGCTGGCTAGCATGTTTGGCTCTTGCAATTTCTCCAGTTCCAGGCAACTCAGCTTGACTTACTTCTTCTTTGCATTGACATTTCTGCAGACCCAGTTCATACCATCCTTCAAAGACAATAGAAAAAGAGTATTGGGTGAGACAGAATAGGTAACCAGATCCTGACAAATTTTCTCTTAGATTAGATTGCAAAAGCACCTTCCCAGTTTTCTCTTGGTTCCCTATACTATATAAATGCAATCTGTCAAATGTTTTTATCTTTCTAATTCATTCATGGCCATGAATGTTGATGTATGAATGGCTTCTTCAATCAGCATCTTAAATCTTTTGTAGAGATAAAATATGGGATTACAGACTTTACTCCTGGGTTTTTATGCCACCACAAACCCCTGGGCTTTTTGAGATAATTCTGGTGGCAAAGATACAGCCAACTGTAATGATATGGTTGCTAATATATTGATCCTTTTTTGGAGAAGGCAAATTATAAGATAAATCAAAAGGAAAATCTAAGATTCACTGCTAACTCAGCTGCAGACAAATTAGCATTCTAGTTACACTCCATTTTCATTTCACAGGAAAAGACAAATCAGCCTGGTTCTAGTTCATGTCAATTTCACATGCATTCAGTAAAAAAGTTATTCTGTTCAGCTTCCACATTAAAAAAAACAAAATCAGGAAAATTCACCATTATTTTTTTCCATGCATCTTTCTCTATTATTTATGTTTTTGTATGCAACTGTTAAGCCAAGAGCCACATTACACAATTTGGAAAGGAGAGCAACCTGAAGAATAAATGTTTGAATGAGAGAAGCATGAACTAGGTCAATTGGCCTTCCAGATGTTGCTGAACATTAACAGCCAGCATCTCTCATCATTAAGCATCTTGGCTGGGGCTACTAGGAACTGAGGCTTGGAACAACTATACAGCTGCAAGTTCCCATCCCCAGCCTGGGGCTCTAAAGATGTCAGTGACAGACTGCACCAAGGTCTGCTGATTTTGGTGTACCATTATCCAAGTCCCCAAACTTCTCTGATTTCCAAACTGAAGATACCAAGGGACAACTTAATTTTAAAGTCCTCTGTTTTGCAGAAGAAGGAATGAATGATCAAGATGAGTTATGTTGCTGTGTAAACTCTGGTATCTCACACTGAATTTGAAAGCCTTCAGCTTTTTAGGAAAAAAAACCAGGGAGACGGGAATGTCTTAAAAAATGCACCCACACAGCAAGTTCCTATGCAACTGATACAGTGTTCAGGACAGAAGTTATCCCAAGAAAATGGGTAGGTCTCCCAGAAACAAGAGTTAAAAGACATCTTGACTCAGCATTGTTCCTGAAGTTTCCTATAGCTTCTTGTTTGTCTTTAAGAGTGCCTCTCCTCCTTTCCAAATTTGTCAAGGGATTATTAATTCTCTAGCAGCTTTACTGTAGTCAAGATGATGGAAGTAATATTATACAGAAACAAATGTGTTTTCTAGTGGTTGAAAAACAGGAAAAATCAACCCTTAATTCTATTTCATATTTTAGACATCTACTTGTAAAAAGTGGAGGAAGCAAGAGTTTTCTGCATCAACCCTGCCATCACTGTTGCTTTGGAAGAAATAACCATATTTGCTCCTGTCATAACATATAAGGCAAATAGGTACCCTGATTCAGTTTAAGTGCAGGTTATTTGCTAAAGCACAACAGCTGAGACAATTTAAATCCATAAATATTTGCTGACACCCCTTGGATATTCAATGCACTGCTTCTATACATCCCTTTACTACACAAGCCAAAGAACCATCTCCTAACATATATAGGATTCCAACTCTATCCAACACCAAGATAGTTCAGCCCATGAACAGTGAACTATCTGAACACTGCACAGCACAGCAGAGTTTATGACAGGGTTTACTGCTATTGCAAGCCTGATGGTACATCAAGAGCAAAAAAATGTTAAGGCACTATGTTGAAGGAAGGATGATCTCCAAATGGCTTTTCAATTTATATCTAGGTCACTATATTTGAGAGAGCCATTTTGGTGTAGTGGTTAATATATCAGGCTAGAAACAGGAAACCATGAATTCTAGTCCCGTTTTAGGCCCGAAACCAACTGGATGACCTTGGGCCAGTCACTCTCTCAGCCCTAGGAAGCAGGCAATGGCTAACCACTTCCAAAAAACCTTGCCCAGAAAACTGCAGGGATTTATCCAGGCAGTCGCCTGGAGTCAAGATTGATTTGAAGGAATGTGCAAGCGCACACACATACACACACTTTATATGAAGGTAGGAAATGACCAAAAATCATTTTCATAGCAAGAGCTGTTTCAAAGAGAATTGTTATTTATGTAATATGTGGGGGAATTAGTGTATAATATTAATACCTAATCAACAAAAGAAAAAAATTAATTTCCTTGATTAACAAGGATTAAATTTATTCCATATATAAATACTTTTTAATAATCACGTAAATTCCTTCCTATAGACATTTTTTGATATCAAAATTCAATCACGGGAAATGTTTTCACCAAATAACTAATTTTAAAAGGAAAGCTGTTTGTATAAGAATGACTAAATAACGGTAAAAATTGGCATTTTAAAACTATTTTTTAAAAAGGTTAATGTTCTTTATAGAAGCTGAAGAGATAAAGCTATTGTTACATTTGCCTTACAGTTCAACATTTAAAAGTCTATGAGAATAATTTCACATAGTCCAGCATCTTGTTTCAAACAGGCGATAGCTTGATAACTCTAGAAAGTCCACAAAAGAGGTATAGAGCAGGAGTATTTCTCTATTGATATTGGGAGATAGATCTCCAACGTATATAACGATTCTGTTAAGGTGTCATGGCTGTGAATTGTTAATAATCTCTAACATTCATGAATTTGTTTAGTTCTTTTTTAAAGCCAGCCAAGCTATAAAAGGCAATTTTTGTGTGTGAAATTATACAAGGTACCTCATCCTGATTTTTGAGGATCCCTCTATTTTCCTCAGTGTATCCATTCAGCAGAATCTCTGGCCACCTACATAGATTTCAGTCACCTACTGAATTTTGTTGAATTATACTGATCGAAAGTGGCTGCTCTGTCTTATATCATACAATATGTTGATACTCAAAGATCAATGCTCCTTGACAGATGTGAGCACAAGGAATAGAACTTTGTTTAATATCCCTGGTACCAGGACCAATATATACCATGAATATATTTGAAGTACTATGTACAATAGCAAGGAATACATCCTGCAATGCAGTTGATACAACCCAGCTGTTGTTGAAATAGGCAGCAGATGCAGGAGAGGCATTTCTGTGTCTTCTAGTTGTGAATCCTCCTCCATTCACAACTAGAAGACTCAGTTGATTCAATGAGCAATGAATCAGAACAGGCACAACAATCCAGAATTCTGGGGGAAGACTGGGAAGGAAGCTCCATCAGATAAGCACTCATTTTAAACACAGGTCTGCCATCAGCACTGTTACAAGAAGATCACAGAAAAACACTAAAGTAGCTTTAGTGACAAACTTATGCAATGAACTTACAATCATGCCAGGTTACAAACTCTCAACACTTTAAACCTGATTTACAAGTAAAGGCATAATTTTTAAAAAAGGCTGAAGTTTGCCATCATAGAGTAAATCACTAGAACACAAGGAAAAAAGATTGACAACACGTATTTTTTGTGCCTGTGTAATCAAAATCATGCGTTATTCACTGGCACTAACAATGCTGTGTGTTGACACTGGCCCTTCATTGTCTATGTAAGATTCTAAGCCATACTAAGTAGCTATATTACTTTCTTACTAAGAAGCATAAAGAGCAAAAAGCAATGTATAAAGTAGTGTATTTGTTGTGAAGGAAGCAAGGATGATTTGTAAGGATAGAAAAGTATGGAGAGATATAGTGAATGATACTGGTTAATATATTTAATTGTACTGTATTTCCTTTTTTTTATTTTACTTCATGCCCCTGGGGATAATGACATCATGTCACCAAAATGGGTGGGGCCAAAATTTCCAGTCAAATGTTTGGTTTTTGGGGTGGGTAGGGCTCTATCTACTCTGGGAGTGCTCAAAGGGTTGCAGAAGAGTGTTGTAGACCATATTTGGCTCATTTATCCCTAATATATATAATAAAATATTGACACCTAGCCTGGAAAGTAGGTGTGTTTGGCTCCTACACTGCCCTTTCTAAAATGAACCAAAGCAACATTGTTTAAAGAATGCTGCCTGAATACCTATACTTCCACTAATAAAGGACACATTTGTACTGATAAGTGTATCTCATTATATGGAGGAAACCCCCATTAGAAAACTCTAATGCCAGAACTCCCTGCACATTCACATTTTCAACTCCATTTTATAAATCCACATTACATATTACAAGCATCAGTGTGAACTAAATTAATCTTTATTCTGAAGTATGAGGGAGACCCAGCTGGCATGATTCTGTATCTCTCTAGTTCACCTCCTTAAATGAGAAGAACCAAATACTAAATACAAATCTGTTTACAGTAAAAGTCTCTCTGACAATATTAGGAAGCATGACTGGTGTAATGAAAGCTATTTTCTCAGCTATGACAATGGCTGCTCTCCAGTGATGCTCATGAGGATAAAACAGGAACACACGTCCATATCCAAAGCATCTTGATCAGAACTTTTCACTGGTGTCAAAAGGGTATCAGGGCAAGGTCACAGCAGATTCCAATCTTAATTAACATTTTTATTTAAGGAAACTCATTTTAAATAATTCAATTCTCTAAATGTATATAATTTATTAACCATAATGTAATCTCATTCATCTTGAAGTCTGTAATCTTCCTGATTTTACACATTATAGCTTCACCCGGAAAACTGATTAAATTGACCTTCTAACTACTACTTCATTTGGTACATTATTTATTCTTTTTTCATACCGTGCCTTGGGGCTATGACAAATTTCCCCCTATTAATACATTATCTGTATATTTCAATTCTAAGGAAGTCCCCACCCCCACTCCCAAATCAGCTCTTGGCCTCCTGGGTACTTTCCCCCCTCCCATATGACACATTTACTATCCCATCATTGACTTCTATGTATGGGATCTCTGTCATTACCCTCTGGGTACTTTCTTAATGTCATGAGTCATG